GAGAGCCCATTTGACTGGCCCAAAACTTCATGGCTAGAGTTAGGATTTGAACCCAAATCTGTCAGACTCTAAGATCCATGGCTCAGTCAGCACATCCAGTTCTGGAGAAGATTTCCGATTCTAGAGCAAGCTTCGTTCCCCCATGCAGCACACAGTCTAGCTGGAGAATGAAGACATTTGGAAATGAAATAATTGCTCCTACTGCTGAAGGACAGGGCGAGTCCTCCCCTCGAGGGGCTCGAGCTCTACGCCCCTGACAAGAGGGTCTTTGGCTCCTCACAAGAAAGAATTCAAGCAAGAGCCACAGTTAAAGACAAAAGAAAAATTTATTAGAGAAGGAATAATGCTGAAAGCCAGAGAATAAGACCCCAAGTGTTTGAGAAATTGGGTTTATATCTGTTTTCTTTTCAGGGTGTGGGTATGCAGCATTGAAGGCGTGGGAAAGTAGTTCTTAGTCATCTCAGCAGGCGTCTTCCTGCGGTCTGGCCATATGCTGATCAGCCAGGCTCCTGTGCCTGGCAGCCCATAGCGGGCTCTGAACACAACCTGGTTTAAATTAATATTTAGTCAATTTGTGTAGTTGTCATGCTTCTTTCCTATGTTACTTCCAGGAAGTGGTAATTGATGATGATGATGAAGCATTTGTGTGTCTAAGTGCTTAGCTTATTTATAGTAGCTCATTTGACATACGTAACAAGTACTTTGAGGCAGGTACTATTGCAGTTCTGATTTTGCAGTAAACAGGCACAGAGAAGTTAAGTGACTCACGAAAGGTCATGAAGGTGGTAGGTGGATTTGAACTCGGAGGACAGTCTGGCTTCAGAGTTGGTGCTCTGACCCTCTATGCTGTGTACTACCCTCTTAACGCCGAAGGGAGGGCGAGTCCACAGGTGTTTAGCGAGCACTTCACTCTAGGCCGGAGTCAGGGAAGCCTCCACAGGAAGGTGGTGTTGACACTGGAAGAGCTCAGCTCACAGGGCCTGGTTTAGGGCCACAAAATCCCACCCACTCCACCGGCATCAAGAGCTGAAGGCAAGAGATGCTGGCACATGACTGGACCAGGAGGCGTGCACAGGAGACAGCACTAGATGTCCTTAAACACCTGAGCTCTGCTGTCTGACGAAGAGGCATCAAGGCTGTCCACTTCTCTTTTTTTGTGGGGGGAGGTGTATAAGAATTTATTTGAGCCAGAAGGATAGGCACAAGCACAGGCTCAACATGAGAGGCCAGAAGCCGAGACTCGGAGCTGCAGGACCACTTGCAGGGCCATCCCTCAGCCGAGCCGGCCAGCTTTCCCCTGAGTGCCTTTGTTTGACTGAGAAATTACTGTGGTTGCAGCAACTGTAATAAAAGGGGAAGCAGAGACCCACAGGGGACAGCTTTATCTCTTTCTGTAACCGGAGATGGATCTGGTGGCAGCATAGTGCCCTGGGCCAGAGATTTCTTTCCTCTGCCAGCAGACCTAGGGAGTTGTCGGGCCCAAGTCAGTGTGTGGATTGCAGGATGGGAGGGGCTGGGTAGGTGTGAAGTCAACGCCCACCTCCCAGGAGAGCCTGGCCGCTCCCCTGCTGGTCAGCGGTTTCTCCCTCTAATGTGAGCCCCTGAGAGGCCAGCCTCTCGCTTTCTCCCTCTAATGTGAGGCCAGCCTCTGGTCTGTGGCTTCAGAGAACAAAGTGTGAATTTAGGGTTTGCCGTGTGGAATGAGATCTGAGTGTGGGCACCTTACAGGGATTCCACCCTACAAAGTTATTACAATATTATTGACTGTATTCCCTATGCTGTACATTACATCCTCATGACTTATTTATTTTATAACTGGAAATTTGTACCTCTTAATCCATCATTTTGCCCATCTCTGTTCTTGTCTGACCACCATAAGCCTGGCAGCCTCTTCGCCGTCTTCAGCCCTCCCACGGTAAAGGACACCCAGTGGTCCAGCAGCAGTGCCTCCCCTGTACTCTGGGTGCAAATATGCCTGGGTATCTGGGTGGCAAAAGGCTCTCCAGGAAATCCGTCACTCACCTCGATGAATTTTGTTGCCTTACGAGCTGGTGAGCTCTTGGGGCACCTCTTTTTATCAGAGCACCATTTTGCCCACCTGCCCTTCTCCCCCACAAGTACCCAGTAAATTAATTGCCAGAATTAGAGAAAGAAAAAAAAATGTTTTGACATCTACAGGTACTAGATGCTGATTCCCCCTGCTTTTGCCCCTCAGCAATGTGGTGCAAGGGTTGGGTAGACCCAGCCCAGCAGATCCCAGCACTGCCATCCTGGCTCTACCAGTGAGGTGCAAGGTCCCATGGCCTTGAGGCTGGAGGGAGCTGGCATTGGCCCGGTGGGAAGCAAGGAAAGGGGGTAAGAGGTGTGACTGGAGGAAGAAAGGAATGTTCCTGAAACCAAGGGCTATGGGAAAAGGGAAGGAGGCGAGGGTGGGTCTTTTTTGTTCTCGGCTCTGCCTCTTACTAGCTACACTTCCCTTCTCTGTGCCTCAGTTTCCCCACCTACAATACGAAGTTGGGTTTGGATCTATATACCTTCTTTCTACCTCTCACAAACTCTGCATATCCCCTTCTGCACCACACCCCAACATCGGGCCTTGTTGAACTTGCGTTTACACTTGAAGCGTTGACTGGACCTCAAGTAGGACGCGTGTCCAAGAATGGGAAGAAGCCAGGGTCCTGCCTTCCTGATCCTGCCCCTTCTTTTCCTCCTCACTGCCTTCCCTGCACACCCAAGCCACCTCTGTGTACTCCCAGGGAGTCATACCCCCGCCATCTCCCTGCTGAGTCAGAACTCCGCCAGGTGGGCAGGCTGCCCTCCTCCCCACCCGCACCCGCCAGCCCTCTACCCTCAGCTGCTGCCGGTGGCTCCAGCCCAGGCTTCAGAGAATTCCCAGGTATTTAGACATTCATTTCATTGCTTAATCGAGCTTGAAGCCATTTAAATTAATACAAGTTTTTACATTTGGCAGCGAAAGCTTTTAAAGTCCCCTTTAGCAGGGGAAGAAAGAGGTTGAGAGAGAATCAAAGAAGGAATTTTTCTTGGGCCATTGCCTTCACGAGGTGGAAACAGATCAGCCACCACGAGGGCCATGGCAGTGAGGCCACCCTCTTGCAGCAGCAGAGTCATTGCCAGGTCTGGGGACCACCGAGGGTTCAGCCCTAGCACACAGCCTCAAGGTCTGGACTTAAGCAGAGACCACACCCTTCCAGTGTTCTTCTTCAGGGGTAGCCTCCAGCTGGGATCGCCCCCTAACTGTCTCCAGTGTTAGTGCATTTCCTGCCCACATCCTTCTGCCCACCTGTCCGCCCTCCTTCCTCTCCTCACTCATGCAACCACCTTCTTTACCTCTGTTAGGCATGAATTCATTCTGCTCTCCCGGGAAGGACAGGGACTCTGCTCTCCCCAGAGCCTGCCTGTCTTCCTAGCAGAGCTAGGTGGGTGCTGAAGAAGCGTGCATGCAGCTAACAAGAGCTCGCGCTTACCCTAGTAGCTGTCTGCCAAAGGGAGGGGAGTTTTGGTGTTGCTTTGTTAGTGACCTATCTATCAAGGATGATTCTGGGGCGTGAGAGGCCAGAAAGCGTAGACCCAACTTACAGACGTGAGGCAAAGCGTTCTAAGAGGGTCGGCAGTACAGGGCTCTCACGAGCTCCCGCCCTTCTGCTGAGCACGTACCTTCCCTCTCCCCATTCCAGCTGCTCCTGTCACAAGGAATGAATGTGGTGGCAGCTGCCCAGGGCCTGTAAGCCCTGGGCCTCAGCTCCACTCGCCTCTGCACACCCAGGGCCACCCCCTGCAGGCTGATGCCCCTTTCTCTGTTCCACAGGTGGAGGTGGAGGTGGAGAGCATGGACAAGGCGGGCAACTTCATCGGCTGGCTGCACATCGACGGTGCCAACCTGTCCGTCTTGCTGGTGGAGCACGCGCTCTCCAAGGTCCACTTCACTGCGGAGCGCAGCTCCTACTACAAATCCCTGCTGTCTGCCGAGGAGGCCGCCAAGCAGAAGAAGGAGAAGGTCTGGTGTGGAATTAGGCCTGGCAGGGGGAGAGGGAGGGGGAGGTGTCGCTCTCTCCCCCAGCTCGTACTTTCTCTCCTCCTCCTCCCGCTACACCCTGACACCGCTATCTCCATACAACATACCTCTGCTGTCCCCCAGCTGAGTGGGTACCCTGCTTGGTGTTGGTCTCAGATCCCACATCGGGAACCACGTGGCTGCCAGCAAGGGGCAGCCTCAGCCATAAGCCTGCCACAGACCTGAGGAGGGGCCCAGGCCTGCTCTGGTGGACCTGGAACAGAAAGCTGTCTGGGAGGTGACTTTGGAGTGATGAAATGACTGGGGGAGCCCCTGGGAGCAAGAGATGGGAAAGTGCTTTTTCACCAGCCCCAACCCTTCCCTCAGAGGGACCAGGAGGCCCACTGGCCCTCCTGAGTTTCCTTCACATTGCCCTGCAGGGAAGCCCATTTTGGAAGCTGCCCCAGGAGATGCATAAAGCTGTTAGGACAGCAGATTTACAGCCCATCAGTCTCTGCAGACACTGCATTGAAGAGACAAGGGGGGTGGGCCAGAAAGCAGCTTTGGAAACAAACGAACACCTAAGGAACCCAGTGGGTTTGGTGGTGAGAGCCGGGGCCCAGGACCCCCACTCTCCCCACACATACTCAGCCTATCTCCACAGACTTACAGCCAAGCCCTGATAATGGGGATAAATCAGCCGGCCTCCAATTTGTCAGAGCTTCCCTGAGCTCGAGGAGGATTTCGTGGGACAGCCCCGCTGAGCCATAAATTCGTTCCAGGAGTAAACATTTCCTTCCCCATGGGGCAGCCATCTGGCTTACAACTCGCCTCCTAGAGCCAAGGCCCAGACAACTGCCAAAAAGAGTGGGGGGCTTCGGGGCCCAGAAGGTTCTTTCTCCTCCAGCCCGGAGCAGCCATCTCCTCACTCAGTCTCTCTTCCCACCTTTCTTCTAAGAGAATACATCACTCCCCCCAGGGCCACCCTCTTTCCTTTCCATCCCCTGGGAATTAGGGCTGATGACTAATCCCCCAGTGGATATGGAAGGACTCCAGGGAGAGGTGGCTCAAAATGCTAGGACAGGTGAAAGGGACTGTCCGTGTCGTGGAGGAGTGGGCTGCCCTGAGGCCCCTGAGGAGGTTTCCACCTTCCTTGTCCCAGTTCTGCTCATATTAAACCCCGTCTCCAAGCGTGATGGGGAAACAGGCAGCCTGACTCCTATAGCAAAGGAGCTCCCTCTTGGATTTCCTGTTTGTGACAGCTGAACTTAAGACTGCCACCCCCGTGTCCTCTGCCTGCTGCAGGGAGATGGAGGAGATGTGGTGCTAGGGCCTCTTATGCAAAGGGCTGAGACTTCACTGAAGAGTTGGCAGCTGGGGATCAGAATGGCAAGTACCAGCCTCTGAGGCCCAGATTCTGAAAGCATCTTTGCTCCCTGTCCCTGCTGCCCAGGTACTCAGCACGTGAGCCAAAGAGCTGCCTCTTCAGAGCTGAGCCATCCTCTGAGAGTAGAGACCCCAGCAGGACCCAGGAGAGGATTGGGTGTCTAGCCTGAGATGGAGCGGGGGGGGATCCCTTGCTTTGGCATCGCTATTTACTACACGGTGAATTTGTCTGACAGCCCAAGTCATCTTTTCACTGGTGTCACATGATGACGCTGAGGAGTAATTACGAGTGATTAATTACTTACACAGGATGCGTGTTTTTGTTCCAGTCTGATTAAAATGCAGTGCACGGTCTCAGTGTGAGGGCCTGCCTTTCTCCTGGGTTCTTCTCCTGCACGCCCCATCCTCTGCAGGGATCCTCGAGGACCTTAGCATGTCCTGCCTCTTCCTGGTGGGGCTGGTTCCCAGGAGCAGCATGCGCAGAGCTTTGCAGCGACCCTCAGAGTCGACTGCACTGAGATGAGAGAATTTAGTTGCCAGCTGAAAGATAGTAAAGTACATATCTGAGGTGTCCCCAGGACCCCAGTCCTGCCCTACTTGTGACCCCAGGAGGGCTGCCTTAGCTGAGAGACAGGCACATCTGAGACTGAGTTCATGGTGGTTCCTAGGAGCTGAGGAAAGGCAATATTGAGAGATTGTGTGAGACCAGGAGCATGCAGAAGTCTTCAGCGAGTGCGATGATGTGTTTGTGAGCAGGTCTGACTGCTGCTGCCCCAGCCATGAGAACTTACCTGACTTCCTGCTGGGCCTTATTCTTCCCTGTCCCTTTGGGCCTTCTCTCCTCTTAAAGAAGCTGGTGCCCTCCCCTTTCTCTGCAGGAGGCTGATGGTAGCCACGTGGACTGTCTCCTTTCCCTCCACCACTCGTGCCCTAGCAGGACCCTGGACTGGGTTGGCCATCGAATGGCTTTTATGAAGCTTGGCTTCCCCACTGCAGACTTGAAGGCCTCCACCACCCCAGCCCCATGCCGGCTCAACCCCTGGAGCCCTCTGAGCAGCGGTATCAAATAGGATTTAGAAAGGACAGACTCCAGCCAGTGGAGCCGCAGTCCACATTGCCCGTCTCTTGCTGGGAAGAAGACCTGGGGTTCCCTAGTGAGGAAGCGCATGAAAGGAGGGCCAGGGGCCGGGCGAGGACACGAGGGTTGACAGCCTCTTGCCGAGCTGGCCTTGCCTGTGCCTGGCCTAGTGGGCTCCTTCCCTAGGGCAGCCACAGCCACAGGGGGTGGTTAGGAGCCCCAGAATGTAGAAGGGGACCTGAGCAGGACAGGAACTGGCATGACAGAGCAGGTGTGCTTCTCTTGCTCATTTCCCACCTGGGTCTGAAGCCAGGGCCACGAAGGGGTCACAGAGGGACCTCACCTCAGGACAGAGCTCCATCTTGGCCCTGGCCTTTAAGCAGGAGAGCGGCAACTAAC